AGAAAAATGGGGAGGCAGGGAGGGGGGAGCGGCGGGGGGGTGAAAAAGGGGGGGAAATCGAGAAAAATGGGGATGAGAGCCCAGGGAGCTCCGTCGGGGTGCGGGCGATGGGACTGGGGAGGGGGAAAGGAGCGGTTTGGGATTCGGGGGGTGGAGGGCACACTCAGGCAGGAACTGCCCAGTCCATCCCAGTCCGTCCCAGTCCATCCCGGTTCATCCCGGTTCATCCCAGTCCGTCCCAGTCCATCCCAGTCCGTCCCAGTCCATCCCAGTCCATCTCAGTCCATCCCAGTTCATCCCGGTTCATCCCGGTTCATCCCGGTCCGTCCCAGTGGGCCCAGCTCAGCCAATCCCAGCTCGGCCCTGTCACCCATCGGGTCCCAGTCAATCCCAGCGTGGCCCCGCGAGTCCCGCTCGGCCCCAGTCCAGGCCAGTTGGCCCCAGTTGGCCCCAGTTGGTCCCAGTTGGTCCCAGCTCCCCCCCAGCGCCCCCGGCCCCGCTCACCACAAAGCCGCGGCCTGCCCACGCCCCGCCTCCCCGCGCTGATTGGCGGTGCCGGCGTGCCCGCTGCTCCGCTCTCATTGGTTAATCAACCTGTCACTCAATATGATCGGGCAGAGAAGGGTCAGAGGTGTTTGTTGATTGGTCGCGGTTGCCGTCACTCAGAAATGCGCGCTGTTGATTGGTTCTTGGGAAAAGGACGGGCCGCGGTCGCCAGGGCGGTGGTTGCCATGAGCGAGGAGGCGGGGCGTTGCTACGGAAGCCCTAGGGGCGGGGCTACGGCTGAAAGCAGCATTCTGATTGGGCTAGAGGGTGTGTCACTCAGCATTCCCGCGCTTTCATTGGATTTCTGTCCTGCCCTCACGGTGCGTTCCCGCCTGTTTTCCGAGCCGCGCTCTGATTGGATCATGCTGCCATCGCTCAAGCCTCGCATGCGAATCACAACACGAGGAGGGCGGAGCCTCCGTCTCCCCGGCAACCAGGTAAGGCGGGAACACAGCGAGAGGGCGGGGCCAGGGCGGGGTGGAGGGCGGGGCTCCTCACAGCCAATGGGAGGCGTCGGCGTCGGGCCGGGGGCGGGGTCAAGGGTCAGGCCGGATCCAAGATGGCGGCGGCGCTGGGGCGGTGAGCGCGCGCCAGGAGCCCGACCCCCCCCGACCCCCCCATGGGACCCC